AAGGGGGAGGGAGGGAGGGTGAGGAGCCGGTCCAGCACAGACAGTAATTAGACATTCCCAGAAGACGAGCGGGCTATAAAGAGCAAGGAGGAAGGGTGCTGTGCTCGAGAAAGTACTTTTCTGAAGTAGTCAGATTTGTTAGTTCAGTGGCACTTTGCAAGTCAATAAAAATTGTTAACTGAAAAGATAAATGCTGCAAGTAATTTTTTACATGACTTAATTTTCTGCGCTTTTACCTGCAAATTTTGAAGTTGGCGGCAGGATTGCTTTAATGGGAGTGATGACAGTTTCTCTAAGCAGGCTTTAGCGCCTTTTAAACTTCAAGTTGTGCTGAAGCCGACTAAGACTGTTAGCAGCAGTCACTCATATTAAAATGTGCATTTCACCTTCCCAAACTAGAGCTGAATGATGCTTTACAGACTTCAACAAAGCTGCTTGAAGCCATCTGAAAGCTCTACAAAAGCTTTGTAAAATCCTGCTGTACACACGGTTCCTATACAAGCTGAAGCCCATGTGTATGAGACCTCATCGCTCTAATCCTGCAATGTATTCCCCCCACACTGCAATACCGTAGCTTCATAAGCATGGGAACTTTAAAGCCTCGTTCAGATGAGCGTCTGGCTTTACCGCCCCTCTGAAAAGCGATCCGTGGTGGATCTGACATGTTGTCTTACATTATCTACCCTTCTCTTCCTATGCCCTCGCCATTCCTATAAACCTGCCAGCCTGGTTCTGGAGCCACATGCACTCAGGGGTCAGATGGATAATACCTGCCAACATGTCCAACTGTCCCGTGATCGAGTATTAATACAGCACACTAAAGAAACTACCAGAAATATATATAAGAAACAGCAAACGTTTTTGCCATAATAGAATGTCAAACCTTCTACTGCAGTTTACTGCCAAAAGCTTCAAGCTGAACAAGTGCCAGAGGAAAAGACAGGCGCCACGGGAGGGAGCTCTCACCAAAACCCATTCACTAGACTTTTACTAGTTCCCCTGCTCCTATTGCTTTCTCTATCTCCCCCTCCCATTCTGTCCCCCTTTTTGTTATATTATTACCTTTATCATTCTCTCTATCTTTCTCTTCTCCCAATCTCCCCCTCCCTTGCACTTCTTACTTAACCGTCACACTATAGTACCGACCACAAATCAGAACACGTACGCCAGGGGTGGACAAATTAACATGGAATTCAGCAGCCAGTCTGTCCAATCCAGAACCCAGCAGGATGTTTTCTTCTTTAGGATCCAGCTCTATTACAACTAAAATAAATCTCAAAAGTTATGTGCCATCTGTGATTTTGAAACGCCACTGACTACATGGCTCCTGGGATTTGTCCAGCAGTGCTATAGAACCATGCAAAATCCCAACCTACACTCATTTCCTTAGGGTCAGTCTGTGCAATCTTGGGAGTTGGCAAGATTTTTTTTTTAGGAACCAGCTTCATTGACAATTACAGTAGACCTCAAAAATTAGGCACCTGCTGTAATTTTTGAGGAGCATTGGCTACGCAACTTCAGGGAATTGTCCAGCCCTTCTGCAGAACCATGCATAACCCCAACCTACAATCATTTCCTAAGAGCCAACCATACACAACACACCGTACTGTAGTAACCATCTCTACCCTAAAACAGGGCTGGACAAATAATATTCAATTTAGCAGCCAGTATGCCAAACCAAGGAGCCAGCTATATTGATAACAACTAGAAAAGAAAAAAAAATCTCAAAAGTTTGAGCACCAGCCGGAAAGTTTAAGGAGCATTGGCTAGCTGGCTCCTGGGATTTGTCCAGCCCTGCCCTAAAACCAATAGAGACAAAATCAGAAAACAAGACACAATGTGGAAGACCTCAGGAAATATCGATCTCAACCAACTAGAAGTATGCAAAAACGCAGAAGTAAACTACTGTGACATATCTATTGAATGTTATCTTTGAAAATAGCCTTGAACGTTTTGACAAAGAAACTATATTTTATTGCTGGACATCCGCCTGAAATGCTGCTAGGTTGTAAAAAAAATTTAATAGAAAAAAAAGAAAAGAAAAAACGGACAGCTGGCATCCACTTACAACACCCAAAGTGAAGATATCACCCTTGCTGCATTGCAAGGCAATGCCACGGTGTGGTTTGGCAACTTTAGCACAGAGGGGCTGTGAGGGTCCAGAATGTAAACGGTTTTAGAAGGAAGAAGCTGGCTTTTCAGATTCTTCCGAGTTTTCCTAATTGTAGCTGGGATCTGGAGATCTCTTGGAACTCTGGGTAGGATGAAATCTCCAGTCCTGGGGCCAAGTGTTGCCAATAACCAGTGTGGGCTGATCAGGTGGCTGAAACCAGCCTCATTAGGAATCCAGACCAGAGCACAGAGGAGTGGTGGGGTGTGCTGGAGGCACACGAGGGCCAAGCCAGGTGGTGTGTGATGGAGGCACACAAGGGCCAAGCCAGGTGGTGTGTGATGGAGGCACACAAGGGCCAAGCCAGGTGGTGTGGTGGAGCCACACATGGAATAGTCAGGGAGGCTGGAGGATTAGACAGGCTGAGAGCCAGGCACACAAGGTGTGTGGAAAGCTGCTGGAAGTTGCTAAAGCATATGAAGTACCACTGAGGCGTTTTGTTGAAGAAAACATTAAAGTCCTGAGACTGGGACACTGTGAGTAATGGGACAACCTTGAGTCGGTGAGACAATATACCCTTTTTACTGAAGATAAGTGAACTTTACTTTGTGTTATATGCTGTAGTTAAGCCTTCATTTGTGTTTTGCACCTATGAGTTGCCTGAAGAGCAACAATAAAGACTTTTGGTTCATGGAAAAGCCCTGTGCGAGTGCTCTGTGAGCTCCCCAGCGTTACACCCTACACTCCAACATGTGGGTCTCTATGCATCCTGGTAAAGAGATCGGGAATGGTGAAGAAACGTGGGGTTCTTATAGATCAAAAAGTATTCCTTTCACACGTCAGAGTACCAGTCATCTCTTTGCCACCGATACATTCAATAGTAAATCATTCCAGATCCCTTATCTGCACTGTGTTCCCATTACATGCACATGTCTATCCTACTGCAAACATAAGAGGAGATCCTCCGGATGGTGTCCACCATTGAGCAATCCTGGGTGTCAGGCTGATATTACACAACAGAAGGCTTGGCTAAATTAGCTTTCATGAGTCATGTGTCTATAACTGTGATGACAAATTAAAAATCTGCTGACTCCGTTCTCTGTCATCTCCTTTTCTCAGCAGACAGAAAATATTCGATATTATAATATAAAACACATTTTCAGTATACGGGATCGGTTTTCTAAACCAACTCGATCTTGGTTTATGGGCCTATGGTGCACAGAAGGGTAAAGTGAGGTAGGCCATATCATGCAATACTTTTTTTGCTGCAGCACACTGTGGTGAATAGAACCAAATCAAATCTCACATTTCATAAAAATTCTTAAAGTGACACTAAACTCAGGAGTTAAAAATCCATTCAAGTGCCTTAACTATTAACAATACTGGACCTTATTTGTATATCACTCGGCTGTAGATCCTCAAATCATCTCTGAATTGGTGCTGACATTGTCCTTCTGGAGGGTGACTACTTTTGTTCCCCATGGTCCCTGTGTGTGTTGTTATGTAGTCACTGCTCCAAGCTTGCTCTTGTAAAGCTGGCCATACACTTTACAACCATCGTAAGACTTTGGTCTTGCGATGGTCGTAAGCTAATGAAAGGCTTGTACGATCTATCCCATCTTGGACAGGCAGATCGTACTTGCGATCATCGCATCCTGTCCCGCTGAGGGGAGGGCTTCCGTTGACTGCAATGCTGAGCGGGCAGTGTGCGATGGTTTTCAAACATGCTAGTAAGAGAAAAGACGTGTGACCGTACAGTAGAAACGGTTGCACGCCTTCCATACACCCCCCCCCCTAAGGAAGGACAGTGTCAGCACTAATTCAGAGATGATTTGAGGATCTACAGCCGAGTGATACACACATTGTATACATGTTGTTAGACGTTAAGGTACTTGAATGCATTTTAAACAGAATGTGGCATTTAGCAGGTATTGTCACTTGCCAAATCCGACAATTGCAATCAATGGGACTGTGCCACAACCGCTTGGGTACGCAGTTGTAGTGCCCACCCCACATATAAGCAGCAGGTTTTCTTTAACGGAAAGTCCATAGCACAGAGACAGAACTGTCAGCTACAGCTCCTGGTCTTGGACTAACAACTGGCAGCTGGTTGGAGCGGCTCCTGATCATGTGATCACTATGAAAGCCAATCACAGTGATCAGAAGTTTTAGAACCCTCAACTGCTTCTCATTCTCCTCTGGGAGAAGAAAAAGACACATTGAGGGGAATGTATCAAAACTGGAGCAGACAAACTCTGGAGCAGTTGCCCAATCAGCTTCTCTCTTTCATTTACAAAGCTTAAAGTAGAACTATTAGAACTATGGGGTTAGGGCTGTGTACTGACCAGAAGCCTGCTAGTAAGAGGAGAGAGCAGAGTGACAGAGAGATGAGCGTATCACTGTGCTGCTTCTCCTGTCACAGGCTGGGGGCGGGGCCATGACCACCTGGGCTCTGAGGATGTAGGTTGAACAATGCTGCAAGGACATCTAGTGGCAGAATAAAGCACTGCAGGGGACTGAGGCTGAACATTACAGTAAAGCTGGTTTTGTACCTTATAATGGGCTTTTCATTTTTATCCTTTTATTTTTGCCTGGAGTCCTGCTTTATAATAAACCGAATTCTGCAGAAACACCTTCAATGAATTGGAAAAGTCATCCCCGTTGTCACATATCAGATAAAGGCACAGTAAGGGAATGAACACACTGACATGTAGTCACCATCAGTCATATACACATCCCATGGGCTTGCATTATGATGAGATGGCTGGGCACCTAGGACACAGCTGCTGGTAAACAGATATGATGTGACCGGTGACACTGTCACACAGGGTGCCCAGCTCATCCCCTGGCACACTGACATTCCCTCTCCCAATTATCACCCCCGGCTCACCGGTCCCCGCTGGGTGCTGACACTGGTCGCCATGGTTGTCGGGCGGCTCCTGCCTGCACTCCGCTCTCCACTCATACACTTCCTGCACCGTCTGACTGACACTTAGTCAGCTGACCCGGGGAGCACTGCGCAGGCGCAGACCAGAGCCAACCATCTACAGCAATAACTTTATCAACACGAACAAGCAACATCCTCGGTGCTCTCTGGTGACCCCTAGAGGCGCTTCACGCACAATGCTGTTCATTGAATTACAAAGGGGTCTCCACACGTAGTGACGTAGAGTGACCCCCTCTCTGTGCAGGGCAATGACCGGGCTGCGGGCCCCTGTGTGCAGGGCAGTGACAGTGCTCCGTGCCACTGACAACAATGCAGTGGGGTTTTAATCATATTGTAATCTGTGTGCACAGAGGTGCCCTTGGTCTGTTATGACCCCAGAAACGTCCCTGCCTAGGGGGCCCATTGAAGATAGAGGCCTCATTATTGGTGTCAGTGGCAGCAAAAATTTTCTCAGGAATTGGTAGTAGTGGACACAGTAATAACTCCCTATACTGGTGTCAGTGCATATAACCCATCACCGTTGTTCAGTGCCAGTAATATTAAATGCCCCTCTGATTTGGTGGTCAGTAAGACATAATTTAATGCATGGTCAGGGACAGTAATATTATATGGCCCCTTCATTGGTTATCATTGTTTACTTACCCCCAGCTCCTCTGCTGCTTCCTCTCCTATTGGGTCAAGCCAGGACTATAGGTAGCCATACATAGGGCATTCCTGCTGAATTGGTTATTGACCCTGTCAGCACCACTCAGCTCAACAAACTAACCTGAAAACCAGATGCAGGTAGGGTTGCCACCTTTTCATCAAGTAAAACCCGAACACTCTAGCGACTTGTGGACATTTTTTGGGGAGAATGAGTCATGGCTTATTCATATGTAAATAACACAGTTAAGACTATTTTCAGTGTGGGGGGCCAGTAGCCCCATAGGCAGTCTCTGTTCTGGTACTCTCACAGGAGCAGCAGATGTCAGAACCCAATAGCTAGGAGGGGATATTTATCCAGCTACGCCATTTAGTGTGGATGGGGGAATTTACTGAATTCTCTCCTTGTGGAACTGAGCGAGATAAATCTTAACGTGTATGGCCAGCCTTATGCATTGTCACCAAGTGTCCTGGGTCATGTAGGATGGCTCACTGGACACAGACACTGCAGGAGATTGTCAAAAATCCCGACACACGATCCCGGTCACTTGTGGAAACAATGACAGCAAAGTATTTAATTTAGCACTTGTTTTTAGTACAGTGGTTCAAGGCTTATTAAGAAAGCAAGTTCCCCTGTCCCATTTTTCTCCTCCTGTGTCCCCCTTTTTGATCTGTTGTACAGACCTGTATAAATACAAGGGACATAACATCGCTGCAGCGGAGGAGGAGACAGACTTCAGGGACCGGAATAGCAGCCAGCTCAGAGGATCGGGTGAGTATAACTTTTTTTTTAGGTAAGAAAAATGTTGCCCAGAGTTCA